CTAGGGGGATTATTGTAAACCTTGTATTAAAAAAGCCTTTCAACTCAAGTCAATGAAATATATTTTTTGCAGTTAGGTATTAAAGAAACTTTCAAGAAAGCTCTAATCTAAATTCTATTTCAATGGACTTCTTAGCAAAACTTCAGCCTCTTTATACAGATAATCATTTCCCAGGCCTCATATTATTATTACAGCTCTTAATCTATTTTTTCATGGTTCTTACACATCTAATTGACTGATCAATGTAACTGTTTTTGTTTTAATTCAACCTCATTAGCTGTGTGATATTGATCATGACATCCTGCTTCCGTAGAGAGCAATATTCACGGACGAGACACAAAAATAGGCACTGAAATTGTTGTGAGAGCTACCGATGTTTTACAGAATGTAATGCAACATTGCCATGCTTCCTGAGGATGTTTTGATTACAGGATTTAGTTCTGTGTACTCTGTGCTTCTCCCATTACAGTGTATGATGAGAGCTAAAGAGGTGTTATTGCACATCCTTCATAACAGAGTTAACGCCCTTCTGGCTCTCAGCACTTAATGCACTGTGTTAGGCCCAAATCAATCAATTTTTTTAACTTCAAACTGATTTTAAAGGTAACACAAACTTTTTGGGGCAAACTTTTAAAGGAAAATCCAACCTTGATGGTAAAATATTCTAGAGGGAAGCAGACAAATCGGAGAAGCAGACGGGTGAAAGTGGGAATGATATCGGACTAAAGATGAGGAAGAAGTGAATTTTTGAAAGTTGTAATCACGATAGGTATGAAATCTTAAAATTGGCTGAATCGGTATTGTCTCTGTGATGTAGAGGCATGCAACTTTCCCATTTGTTTCAAGACACAAGATAAATAAAACTTCACATTTTCAAACATGTATGATTCCGGAGGGTTTAAGCTCAGAGGACCTATAATAATATGCTGTCTATAATATATTTTGAGTAGTGCCCCAAGGGAGAGGGAAAAAACAGGAAAAAATGGTACTAAACAGTTATCCACGACTATGTCACAGTCTACTGACCAAACTACCAATTTGGGATTTACATCTACTTATAGATTTCATATTTTGAACATTCATAACTCTGTTATTAAAGGTCCGAGTTATTTCATCTTTCACCACTATGTGAATCACAACTTTCTGCTTTTATTCAATTGAATTTGTTACAAAGGATGGATTTCTCTACAATGGGTGCAGAGTATGTCGAGATCTGTATGCATGGGATCCATGTTGAAACCTCAAGACTGCTGGACTTCAGAGTTTTAAAAATGTGAAGGCCCATGTTTTCCAAACTTCTGTAAGTATGGAGGTCTGATCAGACTGTATGTATCATGTGCGTTAGTATTGCCTCTTCAAACAAAAATTTCTTTTTAATTTTTGGGTGGGCCGTTTCCCAAGGACAATGCATTGTTTTGCAGGGAATCTAAACAAAGACAGACATCCCAATGCAATCAGGCAGCCCACAGTGCTTTCCATATGGGGGTGGGTTCCTATCACATGACCTGATCACATGACCTGATAGCATGAAAGAAAGCAAGGTCCTATAAACAATCAAAATGTGATGTAGATAAAAGGATTCAACAAAAAACATTTCATCAACCTTTAATCAAATGTCCTATCTTATAGCCCTGGACATAAAACAAGAAACTGTGTTCTTTAAAAATAAATATCTTTCTTCATTGGAGTGATTACAATCCCTAATTTATACAACTTATAAGGAATAAAACAGAGCATCTTGTTTTTGACATCATTAAAATGACCCCTGTAATGTGGTATGAGTCGCTGTTTTAGCATTGGAAAAGAAAGTTGTTTACACCTCTAACATGTGGTGAACATTGAATACTTTTTTTTTTATAAACCAACTTAATCAATAACCCAACAAAGCTTGATAAACCTTTCACATTTTCTTGATTGTTTGCCTCATTCCATCCCAATCTGTTACAAGGTTGTTTCCCAAGAAAGCATGATGTGGTTTCACACTCTGTTAACCATCCCACATGATCATCAATGAGCCCTACCCTACAGCCCATACGTGGCCAATCGAACAAATCAATACCGCTTTCTGCCACTCTGCACAAAGTCGTCCACAATGACATAACAGCTCCCTGTCCCTAACCCCTCTCCCCCTCGCCCACCGAGTACACCACTATTGATCCAGACTCCCCTGACTCACTGAGATGGAAGGAGTTAAGCCATTACAGCGCTGGCATGTTGCTAATTTCTTGGATCGCAACCCTAGCAGATGGGTGGTAGAGTACTAACAAGCTTAAAAATCAATTTTTTAACCAGTCTTTTGTCTCCCCCTCTCCCCTTTTCATTTCCCCAGTTAGAGAACAAACTGCTGCGCCCGCCCTGACGACCTGCTATCATTATATGGTAAATAATAGAGTGGACTGAGATACATTAGCTCTGCCTCAGCTGAATTAATTTCCTCATGTTGAGGTCATATTTTTGGCTCCTTCTCTGATTTTACCATTGCCACGCCGATTTGAATGGAACGGGGCAGGTGATTGTTGCCAATTTAAGTCAATAACTCGCACCAAGGAGATTCAGGCCTTGACATGTCATTTAATTACGGAGAAAACTCAATTAATTGTCGTCGATCAATACAAGATTGGTGGTAAATTTGGCTTAATTGTGGAAGAAAAAACTCAGTGCTGCTTATTACTGACTGATGAGAGGGTAAAATACAAGGGATATATATATATAATGTACATGTATATTGTATGCAAGGGAGCAAACATTGACAAAACACATTCTAAAAAGAACATGATGATGAATGTAAACTGATGGACAATGGGAGCAAAAAATGATAATAATAATGATGATAATGATAATAGAAATAGATAATGATAATAAAAATAATGATAATAATCAGACAAATTGTAATAATCATTTATCATAATATATAATTGTACTTGAAAGATTCCAGTGTATAGACAATTAGAGAAATACCAAGAGAGAAGAAGGAACTAATCAGGGGAGTTTGAATTATAAAACTCATATCATCATGTTGAGAAACATCACAATGAAATTAGCTTCCATAATATCATGCCGTTATCTGGGTTGTAATCAAGCTATTATATGTATAAAAATACATTTCAAGATATGATTTCATTTATGACTTCATCAGAAAGCTGAGAGGAAATATAAACATTCATCCTTTATTTGGCCACGAACTCGGTAACCCAGTAACCCGAGTAAAGTACAAAATGTTAAAGCACTGAGTAAGGTTATATCAATTACTCTCTATTCAGCAAATGATGAAATCGAAGTTTGAAAAGGGAGGACCGAATTTTACTTGTAAGGTGATAACTATTATAGAAAAATGTAGATGCAGAGCCTGTAAGATTTTTTATTGAAAGAATATTGAGAGGAAAAAAAAATCTGATTCGATTATTTCCCAGATTATGGAAGACAATATTACAGTTTTAGTTATTTTCTTTCCACATTTTATGCGAAAGTATGCCAACAAGGTCTCCCAATTGCCTAAGGTTGCGGCAAATAAAGCTCATGTTTAGGTCACCGACATATTTGGTTCAACCCGACCAACATGTTTGGTTCAACCGAACTAACAGGACACTAACATCGATCACAACATGAAAAGGATATTACAGAGGTCCTCTGGAGAATTGATCGATTACTTCTTGATTTGAAATCTCTGACTACAGCCTTGCATCATATCTCACACGGGAGAGAGGGAGAGAGGGAGAGGGAGAGGGAGAGAAGGAGGGAGAGAAGGAGGGAGAGGGAGAGAGGGAGAGAGGGGGAGAGGGAGAGGGAGGGAGAGAGGGAGAGAGGGAGAGAGGGAGAGAGAGGGAGAGAGAGGGAGAGAGGGAGATGGAGAGAGGGAGGAGAAGGGTATCGGAATGCATCTTCTGCCGCCTTCACGCTTCCGCAGCAGCGATTTTCATGGCTCCCATCGGGATCCAACCAACGTCATGTGCAATCATTTGCAACAAGAAAGCTTCTCAAATGCTGCTTTCATACTCCAAAGTAACAAGTACGTACGTGGCCTGAGTGCAGATTAAATAATCGGTCCTCGATATGGAGCTCAAAGTGTGCTTTTTCGTACAACAGCTTAAATAGATGTGTTTTTATGGTTACCGGTAACACCCAAGTTTAATCCCCCCCCCCCCCCCCCAACGCAATCACACTTATTATCCTCCCGTGCTATTCCAATCAGAAAAGCAGTGTCCCCAAGGCATACTTCCTTCTGGACATCATAATGCAAACGCATCATTATATATTTCGGGATAACCCCTTCCAGTGCAGATTCCCTCCTCGCACAACGTACCCACCAAAAAACAGGTCGACGTTAAGAGCCTGCATCAGCATGGCTTTTAGAGGATTGCGTATTTAAGAACAAAGACAATGGATATGTTTCATATCGCCATTTGGGCGAGGAGCATATTGTATCCAGACTCAACCCCCAGAAGTAGTGTGTATGAAAGCAGCATAGGAGCCCGATGTAGGACGAGGTACAGACAGGGGATAAGGTGTAGCAGTAAGCTCCAAGAGAAGTGCAATTTGTCTCAAGGATGGCTTCTTGGAAATCATAAGCTTTCCTCTTCCAATCCTGGAGCGAAACTCAGGAGAAGAAACCTTCATCGACATGTAATCGTAGAAAATATGGGGTCTACCCGAGCTGATATACATGTACTGCTGCAGACTTTGCTATACTTTACAGGACTCCAAGCAGAAGCCATTTTATAAATGGAAACAAGATCAGCTTAAGATGAAGACTAGAAGGACAGGATAGAGAGCAGAAGGGGGGGGGGGGGCTTTAGGAAATGGTATAAACATCACAAATGAAACTATCAAAGGTGCTTCCATTTGTCCCATTTTTTGTTGCATTGTTGATGAATCAATCTTTCAAAATTAGGGTATTGCAATAGATAGTTTGTCTTGTCAAGAATATCACAAGAAAGGCAATACCAGATTTGTCTGTAGGTTTAGCTAGGAGTACGAATAAAAGGATGAGGGGCGTGACTTACCGTGGGAACTAACAACTTCTTGATTTCTTCACAGGCCTTCTTTAATTTGAGCTCCGCCCTTTCTTTCGTGTCGTCGACTGTGATAAGTACGTGCAGTTCTTCGTTTAAGTGTTCCCAGTTTGGCTTTCCCCTGTTCATATCCTCCTGCACATGAAAAAGAAACAAAACAAAAGTAATTAGATGATGATGCTACTGCCATGTACACTGTGTATGTGTTGACTGCAGATGTGAAGGTTGTAGGTTCAATCCCGGGCACGGCACTCATGTTCTTCAGCACTCTAGGCGTTTTTATCAACATTGCTTATCTCAACCCAGGTGTAGAATGGGTACCCGGTACGGTAGGTACGAAAGTAATTGTAGTTACTTCAGTCTTGGGAGCGTCTGTAAAATGGCACCTGGCAGGAATGCTCCACAAGGAGTGGAGAATGTGCATACACTGCGTGCAGGCAAGCATGAATCCGATGACCAGGGTAATGATATTTCTGTAATCTACAAGTATTATAATTGCTATATAAACACGATTAATATTATTATCAAAACAAAGTGGGCATTATATCATTAAATTTCATATCGACATGAAAAGGGTATCTACATGTAAATGGACTTCTGGAATACTTGAAAGCCTTGGGCTGGAATATCTCAGGATTCAACTTATTGAGTCACATTCAAGAATAAAACCAAATATCTTAAATTCATTATCTCTAATTAAATCAAGGAGTGGACAGGCCTTGGGTAACTCTGATTAAACCATCTCCATTTGGGGTTACGTGTAAACAAAGAAAGAAGAATTGCGCAATACTATTTTTTTAAAGACATATAAATGATAGAAAAAGGAGAAAGAATTCAGCAACCTATAATGTACATATAGTATTTTCATCCGAGTTTGGGATGTTTCTTGTCTTTAAAATAACACTATTGAACCTGATTGATGTTGAAATGACAGAAATGGTATACAAACATGTTTGATCATTCTGTTTTCTTCATATCTGATTTTAAATTGAGCATGGGAAATGGTCTTACAAGTTTGATGCAATTTGAATAGCTCTATTTTCACTCCTTTCAAATTTGACCTTTTGACCTTGGGTGGCTGGTAGACCCCCTTGAGCCTGGCCCTGGTGGAGTAGGCACCTGTCAATGCCGCTTCAAATCAAATCAGGCATTTATCTTTCAGAAGTCACAACTGAATTCTTTCCAACTGATGGAAGAGAATTTTAAGAATGGTACACTCGAAGCTATCCCGCTTTATAAGCTTTCAGAAGGATGTAGCTTTGCCTTCAGACGTTTAAAGAAACCGCTTCCTATCCCGCATTGGGACTCTACACATGAACACAGACTTGGGTTGAATTTTGTAACCATCAGCCTGTTGCTAAGACTAGTTTACCTTACAATGACCTGACCTGAAGAGTGTTAACCCACCCTCTGTAAAGTGATGTGAATTTAAAACGCCCTTCTGGCCTCCACAGATGACATACAAGCTCATTGTCAAAGTCTCATAAATTCATAGCAGCATACGTTTTTGTTTTATTACTAAGACTTAAAATCACTGCCATAAGGAATTGGAAATACAGACCTTGGGGGGGGGGGGAGGGAGGAGGGTTAGGAAGATCTTCGATACAATTTAAAGTCATTAGGCTAACACTAATAACATATAGTTCCTACGATAAGCAACAAGACCATTGAATACTTCTCTACTTAAAAAATCCTTGTTTTCAAACCAGGTAAAAATCAACATTAATCCATATGAAGTCTGAGCTTATCAAAATCACTTCTATAAATACTGCATCACTCAACAACCCTCCTACCAACTTCCCAATTACCCTCTTAGGCCCACCCCTCCCTAAACCGTCACTCCCCCCCCCCCCCCCCTCCCTCCCCTCCCCTCCCTCTGAAGCCATGCCTTTGCCTGACCTCCGTGACCTCCCAAAATCCATCACTTGGCTCAGTTTGACTCCAGTCCCCGCCTGCCGCTTTTCAAATATCACTTTTCGCAATCGGCATTCCGCAATTTCATAGTTGCTACCTCAGCGCAGCATCTTGGCATGCCCCAAATACTGCCTGCAACATTCTTGAAGTGACAGCGTTCGTGAACCTGCGATACAACTTCACCCTGGCCTTCTAACTCATTAATTTGTTGCCTTTAAATGTCTTTCATGAAAGTTTCTTCTCCATATCAATCTCACCTTTAACAAGCACAAACATGTAGCCCTAATATTAAATACTTTATATTCACTATCATCTGTTAAAGAAACCCCACAGAAACACTCGTAACAAAAATCAATCTTTTCAAACAAAAAGCAATACAGCTGACTCGCATAAATGAAGAAAATACAAATCAAATGAGATTTGCCAACAGTGATTCTATGTTTATAATATTAAGGAAGAAAGCTCATAATAATTTCAAATAAATTGTTGTTTTGTTAGTTAAATCCCCCCTGTTTTTATACTAGGAACTTTTCCCTCCACCTCCAAACTCAAACTCTAGAAAAGAGTCACTTTCACACTCTCTCCTCTCTCTCTCTCTCTGCTTTGCTTCTCTTCTCTTCTCTTTTCTCTCTCCATCACTCACTAGCGATAGACACCCTACAGCTTCAATGGAAACTAACCAACCTATTTTTCTTGACCCCTGATTAATGAGTCAGCAATTGCTCACACACTTTCTACTGCACGGGACTAGGTACGGAATGAGGGGGTAACAAGAATAGACGAGGGGGGCGCACGTACAGGGTAATAGCTGCAGTAATTGAGAAATGCCATTTGTTAATCAGCTTTGCATTAACTATAGGAGTCAAAATCGAAAGCATCAAGTTCATTTTCATCCACATTGCTTTCTAGCCTCCTTGGTCCACCCACATATGAACAGCCTAAAGCTAACAATACTTGGGCATGAGTAGCCCATCTGAACAAGTACCCTCTTTGGAGCCAGTTCAGGGCATTTAACGCCGAGTTAAATTACAGTATGATAAACAGCCTTCTGACCCAAAAGGACAAAATAACATTGAGTATCTGCAAATAGGTGCTGCAAATTTGCCATGAACTCCAAATTAGAGGAGTAGAATAGGACTATATTTCAAGCTACATGTAGTCTCTGCTCACTCAGCGATTAGATGTAGCAAAAATAACTTGGAACTTTGGATGAATTTACCTCCGGGATTTACTTTGTTAATGTATTTCCTACAACCTTACATGTCAATCGCTAACTTTTCCTGTGACTGAATTTAATTCCATCCCTTTTAACTTTATGATAGATGTAGGTAGGCTTGTAGACCCCTTAATATTCTAGGGTTCACCGATTTTCAGTTACATTTGCATGTAGATCAAAGTGATCTTCTGCAGCACGTACGGTGTCAAGCAGGGGGGAGGAAAGGACCAAGAGTAGACAGTGGGAGGGGGTTGTTTATCTCATACTGACTCATGATGAGCTATGAGGCATGAAGCCTCTTGCATAAACTCACAATTACACTCCATCGTCCAAAACTTAAATTGATTTTTCTCTCTGGCCATCATTGTTTCGCGCCCCATTGTCTTGAAATGCCTGTGATGGTTTAGTTAGTATTTCACGTAATAGGCATGTTAAGGTCCTTTGTGATCCGACCTTTATTGAAAGTATTGATTTGGCAGCCTCGGGAGCAGTATGTTCTCTTTATTGTTTAAACCGCAATAAACATTCATCGGATATGACAAACATCATGTACGCGATCTCTACCTTACAATTATATTGAGGTCATGAATACCAACAGAAAGTAAGGGCAATGCACATGTTCACATGTTGAGGGGCCATCCATTTCATACATTCACATTCAGTGATTCTGCTCATTATTGACAGTAACTACACGTAGTTCAGGGGTCCCAAATGTAGGCATCCATTCCAGGGATTACACCTTCGATATACTTCATGTAGCTATCACCATACTGATGTTACCGGTATGCATTTTAATGATACTTCATTGCCCAAAACCAGAGCTGTTTTTATTCACAGCAGCTCTTTTAAGCATTTCAGGATAGTACAGAAGGCCTGTGTGAAATTCATAAGTTGATAGTCAAAGAAACGATTATGCTTCTTTAAATATCTCATTGTTGGGAATGTGTAATTACAAACCAAACCATGCATCCTCTCCACCCCCCCCCCCCCCCTTCAAAAAGTGAAATACCAATGCTATAAATGTTGCAAGGATATAATTTTTTTTTATTAAAAAGGCATTTTTCATCAAGGTTTACCACTAACAAACAAAAAATGAAACTCAGTATTTTGGGGTCACTTTTCTGCCTTGCACGGAAATATTTTTCTTCAAGGAAAACACAGAGGTGACATTCCAACGTGTCTGGGTCAAATTCTCTTATATTTGCCCCTCCAGAGCCCCCCCCCCCCCCCCAACCCACACCTTCTTATGAACACGTCATGATTGTACTGTCACTGATGCACAGCATGATAACAAAACAAGTTTAAAACAATTCTTAGGACACAAGTAGAAGTAATAACCGATTACTTGCTTACTATTTTTTTTTCTACAAGAAAATGTGGACAAAATAAGTACAAATGTATACTGCTTTTGTGGATATACCTCATTTTCATAGATAAATTTTAAATTCATAATTCATTCAACATTTCTTTCTGGCAAAACAAATTAAATGTTTGAAAAACACCTCAATATGCAGAGAACCAGGTTTAAAAAAAGTATGATATTTGGAATGAGCAAAACAAGAATATTCCTGCTTCATTTGGGACTCATATCCTGTTTATAATCCTGCTGCAAAGAAGTAAAAACAGTTTTATGGATATTTAAACCAGGGTTTCAAAAAGCCTAAATTGCTTGATAAGACGATTGTAGGTGTAAAACTCAGTGCCAAATATCAATCATGGATGAAAAAAATATACTTTTTAAAAATAATCTCCAACAATTGAGAGAGAGAAATGTTTACAGTTCTAGTAGCAGGGAGAAATAGTTGCATCAAAAAATTGTAAAGGTCAGAAATGATGGAATAGTGAAGTAAAAAATATTATCTATAATTCCCTAAAAGACACATATGTACACAAGCAACAATGATATTTGCTTCTTTTTCTAACATTTCAAATGGGGAAAGTTTTCTTTATATTCTTTAACACCTTGGTTAACATTAGAAGATAAAGCTAGCTATAAGAAATAGAACAGATCACTAGTCTCTGCTACCAGTACTGCTCTTGCTACATAACTTCAGACAATCTTATTTTCTTCGCCTCTGGCTAAGGATTGAAAAGAAGAATGAGAAGAAGAGCCTTTGCCTAGGGGTGTGTGTGCATGCATGCAAGAGGCAGTGCACCAGTATCTAGTTTTCTACTTTTCTCCATATCATTTGGAGATAGATCTATGCTCAATGCATCAAACTCTAGCTTAGTGTACATGCATGTTCACACAGGACTGTTGTGGTTTAAAACTCTGCTGTGGTTTCTGAAACCAGGAAGTTATAAACTATGATCCACTAGTTATAAACTATGATCCACTAAAAACCAAGAGGGTAGCACAAAAGGAATGAGGACCCCCTGCTACTCATAGTTATCGCCCTAACCTTAAGATAGGTTGTGGTTTACATACATGTATGACCCTACGTTTCATAGCAAAAAGGGCGCAAAAAAACTGACCTAAACAAGAACTGGCGCGTGAACCTCACTTGTGACACGAAAGATACCGGTAGCACACTTCCTCAGATATTTGTCAAGATTGTAACCCAGTCCCTATCTGAAAGCAGAATGCTTTGATATACCAGCATTGAGATGAGTGAACAGGGGAAGAAATGTACTGAAGGAGAAGAATGCATTCCATGTAATTTCTTTGGTGAATAAACTTTAGGCATGTTCGAAAATCTCTAATCTACATGTAGTAAAAAATACCAGCATATTTATCGACCCCCCCCCCCCCCCCCCAACCCTTCAAACAAATGCAGAAAACAAAAGAATAAAGAAGTGAATTGTCTGAAGGATGTTCAAGTCTATGCTACATGATACATCATAAACTTTCTGGCTTTCAGCAGACATACAAGAAAAATCAATACTTTTATCTACTTTTATTATTTTTTTTATATTCCCTTGAACTGATCAAAAAGACTGATGATGAAAGTAAAAAGATCCTCCCATGTCTATACAAAGAGAAATCTTTTTCTCCAATCATGTAGGTATCGTGTTCCACCTCCCAAGGATGGAGCTTACAGAAGCAATCATCGCTTAGCACACCACTTCTTTCTTCCACTCCATCTCTTTATGATACCGGTATGTCATTGTGGTCTGACTGATGCTATCCTGGTAGGTATCATCCATCAATCTCCTCTTCTTCTCCTCCTCCTCCTCCTCCTCATCTACCACACCAAGGCCTCCCAACATCCACCCTCCATCCATTATAAATCAAATCCATCTCATTCACTACAGATTTTTTCCTTCCCAAGACTTCCATTTATAAAAAGTTAAGCCTATCCTTTTACCATTTCTAATCCACACTTTTTTTCTCTAGGATCGTAAAAATTCTTTATTAAGTTCATTCAATGTTACAAAAATTGTTTTGTTAGTTCCAAGACAATATAAGAGAGGGTGAAACCGACGACAAAATTTTTTTTTTTTGGAGGGGGGGGGGGGGGATTAGTCAACTCAAGGAAAGGCAAAGCTTTCGAGAATTTTACCATTAAAGCTGCATTACAAATATAACAATTTAAACCAAACATGATTTTCCTTACAGATATCATTATCATTGGTTTTGCAACATCTCTCGCTTTCCTCATACCTGGTTGATAGTTTGTTAACGGGTGATTCATAATATAGGCATCCAAGGGCGCGTTCATGCTTGATTTTGACGGCCAGAATCAGGCATCTGTTACGCGTTTAGTTTAAAACACGGTTGCATCTTAGCTCACTTTTGTAGAATCACCGAAAAACGGGGATCACGATCGCCGATCGTAAACTCACAAAAAGATGCGTTTACAATTTGTAAACGCGTTTAAATGGGGTCATCGCACTGACCTCTAGTGGGTCTACGTAGCATGCACAGTGAAGGTTTGCGAATCCAGCTGGAAGACCAATTAAGGCCACACCCTGAGAATTGCCTGGGGGAGCCAGAGAAGTAAGCATGAACAGTGCATCGTGGAACTGCGATCACGATGAGCGTTTACGATGAGCGTTTCAGATCGCTCATTCTGCCTTCAAAATTTAAGCATGAACGCAGCCCTAGACCTTCACACTCATTCTAGCACCTCGTCAAAGCCCTGATGGAGAAGAGGAATTCACTGGGTATCTTTCTAATCACTCTATCACGAAATGCCCATCTGTGTATGCGTTTATCTCCCATCTGTCTATCAATCCCCATTAGGGGGTGGGGAATGCCAATGTCCAAGCTCACAGCTTCGATTCATCAAACCGAGAGGTCGGTGCTCCTTTCATATTCAAGCAATCAACAAAAAGGCAAACAAGGACTGTTGTACACATGAGGCGTGTCATCATCGGCTCGAGATTGCCAAATAGCCTGCTATTTCTGATTTAGGAAATAATCCCAAAGTTACAAATCGCGTCCTCATCAGCTCGAGATTCAACCTCAAAACTTGAAACTCGACCTTGAGATATTAGCTTGAGAAATTAGCTTGAGAAATTAGCTCGAGATATTTTGCTCAGCGTTAGCGCATTGTCCGAGTCTTCGGTCTGGTGAAGATGCATCGGACAAATAGCTGGATATTTTGCACACTATCCCAAGATATATTTGGATGACAATCCCGACCAAATATCCCACTAATTGCTACTTCGGTCTGATGAAGACGCATATTAGCTGGATAGTTTGCGATCGGGATAGTTCAACTAGCTGGATATTTGGCAATCTCGAGATAGTGAAGACAGGCCTATGTACACCTGTCCTGGTAACAGTTCACACCGGGCCACACCTCTACCTTGAACATACCCAACCCCCTTGACACCACACCGAGGCATCAACAAACTCAAAACATTCTTTTTTAAACCAGGAAACATTGGTGAAATATCTGGGGGGCAATGATATCACACACAGCTATTAAGATGTGATTGATTTTTAGGGGCCTCAGGGTTAAAACCTTCAGTCTTCAAGTACATGTTGGCATTTGTTTTAAGGCTCTGTGTCATGAGGCTGCAATAGGGACTTTTAGATTTGCGTGGACTGAAACGTGTGACGTCCATTCAAGGCAGTGCATTAAAAGGACGTCGATCGTAGCATAGACCTATTGTCTTGGTGCGAATCTAAAAGTCCCTAATGATCTTGTGAGAACGGATTCCGAGGCATATGCCTTTCATACAAGAAGTACAACAAGTAGACATGTCTCAATTTTCTTTCAGTTGCCATGAGCGAGACATCATTAGTGCATAGCTATACTCTCCATCTTAAGTGAAACCCGATAGTATCAATCGTGGGAAACAAGTTTTCTGTACCCAACATGAATGTGCTATAACACAATAGCCCAAATTCAATTGAAATTCACAGGTTTGGTAATAGAATTGGAAACCACACAATTCATATCATCTAATTGGATATATATACTCAGGAAAAAAGGTTGATATCAGAAAGTTTTGTAACTCAATGACATTAAGATTTCACAAACATGGGGGAATAGTTTTTTAACATCTTTGGAAAAAACAGAAGACAACAAATACATGTGGGCACAGAAAATGCAATAAATTAAGGGAAAGTCTCCAATGCCATCGGGGAAATTCAAAAAGCGAGACATGAATGCTACAAGCTCGTCCCATATGCGTCTATGATAAAGTTGGACACGTATATCGGCAAAGCCGCAGACGTTTTAACAATGCTCAGAAAAACAGGATGAGGATATGCCTCAAGGGAAGAGAAAATAAAGCACACAACAATCCACAAACAAGATAAGTTCACAACGGATATCAGCTTTAGATATCAAACTACTCTCTTTAAACCATGGTAGACTGTCTTTGAAACTCACTATTTTTAGTTCCTCAATCATATTACATTTTAAGGATAATCAATTTGTAAAACTATATATTTTTCATTTGCTTTTATATCTAATTTTCAAATTAATGAACCATTCTTTCCTAGAAACTTACTATTTTAGTCCCTCAATCATGTTACACTTTTGGGATAATCAATTTGTAAGACTAAATTTTTCATTTGCTTTTTATTTATCTTATTTTTTAATTAATGAACAATTCTTTCTGTGGTATATTTCATTTCTATATTTCTGTCATTTAATCTCTAATTTGCCCTTTGGCAATACAATTAACCTGCCTTTATATATAGTTATAATGTTTATATTCTTATGTCTTAAAACAAATTTCCATTCTAAACTTTTAATGACACTTTGTTTCTTTTTTTATCCAGAATGCTCCGAGTTACAAATTGTACATCATGAGCAGATAGTGCAAAAATTAATGGAAAATTTGTAGTTCATAGCTCATTGTGCTGCTTATGAATAAGAGCGATTCAATTGAAAATAATCTTTAAAGTCTCTATATTGGCAGAGTAGAGTTTATAATCACTTTTTTGTGTGTATGGCAAATTCACAATTTCTAGTTGAAATTTGGAATAGTACCATTTTTTTCCTTCTAAACATGCATTTATCAAATATACATTTTCATTTGTTAAATTATGAAAGAGTGAAGAAAAAGACAAACAAGTGTTGCCATTTTGAGGATGAAAAGCTGATTCATTGATTTTTCATTAAAAAAATGTACCAATAAAAAAAATTACCATTGATGCCAATTTGAAGAAGAAGGTGTATTCAATTTGGCCCTTGAATTATTCCTGTCCTTATTGAGATAAATATATTGGAAATGAATAAATGGATGAATAAAGATCGACATCATGAAGCATCTTAAAACATACAGGAAAACAAACAGATGGGACTACGAACCTTAACTTTGTCCCTCATCGATCCTTTTCCTCTGACCATGATTTTACAGCCTGTGTCTTTTTCAAGTTGTTTGGCGGTCATTCCTCTGGGCCCCAATATTCTGCCGACAAAGTTGAACTGTAAAAAAATAAAGAGGATACAGATGACAGTTTATTACAAGATAATGTTAGGGCATGAATAGCCTGCTCATACTAAAAGAAATACATGTATACAAAACTCATCAAACTATAGGCCTGAAGAAACGTATACATGTACAAAAGAAACGTTGTACATGTACATGTATAAAGAATCATCCTTTAGCAAAAGGAGCGTACAGACAACTTAACAACATCCTGTAAAGCAGCTGATATCATATCATCAAATCCTCATCATCAAGGTGAGCTCACGATAAGCCCCGCCCAATTATACAACGTTCAGACCAGAGCCGGACCCTGATTCTTCGAGTTTTCGTTCGAAACGGTATAAGACCTACGTTTCCCTATAGGTTGGTTCTTTATGTAATGTTCAGACAAGGACAATGGACTGATCATATACACGTAGCTACATAATTCTCGTACAGCTATACCATGAATTCTGGAAGTCTGAAAAACTCTGAATACAGGGTAAGGGGATGAAAATGGCAGTGATGAGATTGTGATTTCTGGAGCACTGTCAAATTGTTTATCCCTAAACATCTGCCTCTTCAACATCAGCTAGTTGAGTTCATAAGGGAGAGAGAAAGAGAAAGGTAGATCAACAATAGAGAAAAGATGCATAGGGCAAGAAAGACAATCAGAAAGAGATAATGTGAGGAAGGAAACGATCACTGATAAATATGTAGTTCTAAAAACCTTTCATATCATTTTAATATTTCAAAAGATAGAAAAATGTGATGAATTTTATTAGAACTACAGACTTAAGTGACAATTTTACTTCCAATGCTTCAGGTACTATTTCATCACGGGCAACCCAAGAACATACATATTGAAACACCATACTCCACTGCTCCTAACCAAATTTAAAAGAAAATCTAATACCCTACATTAACTTTATCCGCCATATAAGACTCCCTCAGGGGAAGAAAGCTGCTTAATGAACACTCTACAAACATACAATCTAATAGATAGGACTGTGAGTTTTTTACTTGACAGATGCACTTATACAAGGTCGTAAATTAAATTTGGAGAGAGCGGCCAAGTTTTATGATTTGGATACTGCTAAATAAGATTAATGGAACTGTCATAAATTCTCTGCCTAATGTAATCTAGTTTATAACAAAATGCTTCATACTTCAGAGCACACACATATATATGGATTTTAAATTGCTATGTTTCATTACCTCTGTAAGTATATTAGCTCTCTGTGCAGTAATATTACATCAACTAGAAAGTGATATTTCTCAAGTAACTCATCAACATTTATACTAGAAATGTAAAAATGAGAGCTGCAAGGCTTGCCTGCCAAGTCGGGGGATGTAGAGTGCTTTGTTTATTTTCATTTTTCTTACAACTTGTTTCAGGAATTATTTTCCTTTTATTTTGTTCCATTGGCAATAGTGAGAAGTTAATGATATGCAGAACTTTCACCACTTGCACTGATATTACACAAAGCTAATCTTAATCTCAATAATCGATTATAATAGGGCCCCAACCATGTTTTTGGAAGGGGTCCAGACTCAACATTCAAGAGTCTGTAGTATGAATGAGCCCTATATCAAAGATTGAGAAATTTGGGGCGTTAGGACTACGAATGTTGTGAGCGCATGTGTCCCAGGCATAATACTTATAAATGTTATATACAAGCTCTTGTCTTCTTCTAATCAATATATACTTCTCTATTCACAGAAATCTTCATAGATCCACTGCTTTGGCATGGCAACTTGTACGGTATGTTTTTATTTTATTTTAACAAGAGCACTTGTTAGTCTTCTCTAAGAGCTAAAATCACTCCCTGATCTTGCATATTTCTTTATCTCTGGTTCTCACTAAATCCCCCTTGCCTCTTCCATGGTCTATTGGTAATTTGCTTTTTCTATTATTTCCTTTCATCTGATTAGATTTAATCATCTCATTTTCTCTTGTTATTCCTCACTCAGAAGATCATCTCTTCAGTTGCAGCTTGGATGTTTTCTTATTCTCTGTCTTTCTATTCTCTCATTATCTTACTGTAAATCAATCTCTCTCTCTTTTCTCTCCATCTCTCAATCTGCTTACATTCCCTTACGGCTTAATGAAGTCGTCATTGAATGAAGACAAAACTAACAACTGTCCAGGGAGCAGGGCAATTATCTTTGTCCTAATAACAGACATCTTTGAGATTTTAAAAAAAAAGGTGATTAAAGAATTGGTTTGTCTATATCTGACTGGCTACTTCGGTCATGTTTGAAGTGTTTGAAGTACGAAGCAATGTGGGAAAAAACCTTCTCTGTATTTCACTATGTGGGCATTCAGGTGCATTGGTATTTTTTTATTTTTCTCCCTCCTCCCTTCCTCACCCTCCACACAAACACACAGAGATATCATCGGTCCACGTTTGCCCCGAAGAGACAACGCTTTTAGCCACCTTGCGATGGCGACGTGCATTCTGGATAGCTGATCTCAAGATCCTTGCCCAAGGAGTAACCAGAGACGCCAGTTAACTCCCTGAATCTCACGTTTGCTAGAAACAAAAATGCTTTCTCACCGTGAGGCAGGTACAAGCGATTGTGAGTGGCTTTGCGTAACAGTGTCTGAACTATGAGACTAAGCTGATGGCACGCTGCATAGGCTCTTTACTTTAGCTGCTCAGGACACACAGCCAGAGAATGATATACTAAGGCTCTGCTCAAGGCTTTAGGAATTGTGGTTAAGTGTCAAATTAGAGTATGTGCCTGCAGACGAGGTATTGCACAGGTTGGGGCTCAAAGAGTTAACTAGAACACAATCACCAAACCCCACATAATCGATGAACAGAGCCAACATCCAATAGCTTGTGCCCCAAAATAAAAAAAATGGTTGAATATTTGGCCCACTTTATCCGAGGTAGAAAAATGGAGTGGATGGATGATTCGGGATCAATCCTGAAGTTAATGCAAACTTGGATTAACCCCTTATTAACCCTTTGGCAAGTGAATCTTCATTGATAGAAAAATGTACCCTCCGTTGATTCTAAAATAATCTTATTATCATCACAAACATGCACAAAAGTCACATACCAGAGAAAACTATTTAAAAATGATGAATTTCATGCTTGTTCTTTGCTTTTAGTAGCTATTTTTTAACTAATTTGTCAGCTACAAGGTATTAACATATAATTTTTGTACGAAGATTGAATGCCCATCGATCTAGCTCTCTGCGGACAATGTGTCAGCTTTAATGTTCCTCTTTTCCTCCGCAATAACAGAAGCCATGCAGGTGTGAATACCAATAAAATGAATCAAAAGGGTTTGTGGTCTATTATTATGACAAACTCTACTTTACGTCTTCGCAAATCAGCTCGATTTGAACTGAATTGCCCTTAAATTTCAGTCCATTAGTTTAACCCATTTCTAAAATGTAAACGAGATGAGTATCAGGCATATTGCAAATGACGCCTGGGGACGGAGGGGTTAAAGATAAAAAAGTCACAGCATCCTCTCATCGTCTCCGTTTCATCGCCGGCGGCCGTCCGCATGCTCTCAATGCAAATTGTAAAAGACGCAGTGTGGCTTCCCCGGTCGCATCTTTATGCCGTGAGAGTCGCATCTTCAGACGGCTCTTCAGATCGGGACCTGACTCCACTGCCGTGTGGCACGTAATGAAATTAAACCTCACTCCAATCTTATTGACTAACCCCTAGCCTCTTTTGTAGCTCCTGCAGTATGCGTGCCTTCACCGGTGGCTGTTTTTTATAAGAGTTCACAAATCTCATGAAAGCAAATAGCAAAATGTTGCCATCGTAAGAACTGGAGGTATGCAATTAGGTTTGTGCTCGGCTGCATGGTGTTATTTTTTTCAGCATGATTTAATGTTCATTCGGCTGGATTTGACACATTGGTAATTTAAGGCAATGTCGGTGGCTAATTTATCTAGTGATCCCTAAGTTTCATTTGAAAATTGAAAGTTATCATTTAAATTAGCCACCGCTGGGAACTATCTCATTGCTCCCTGATGCTGATCCGCGATCGATTCCTAAACTGGAAGGCATCTTGGGAAGAAATTCTGTTTGCTCACATCGATTAGAACCCAGGTAACATCAACAAACTGTAAAAGTAGATGTTATAGCACGCATACAAATTGAAATCATTACAGGTTCTGAGTATTGCTAGGGATTTCCTTGTCTTCACCCCAGGGGCTATGCTAGAAGCGCAGCTCAGTGCTTTATAGATGAACAATGGCAATCCTCAGATGTCCTTCAGATTTCAAGAATTATGGATGGTTGTTGTAATTAAGCAATATCAACTTGTTTCAGGGATATCTTGGGAAAGAGAAACAAAAAAACACCTAAAGGATTGCAGGGCCTCAAGGTGTAAAGCTCAGTGCTAATGTAAAATTAAATCCTCAGATAATCTTCGAAATTATTGGAGATTTCTTTGCATCAACCTGAAGTTCTGGATAGTTGTTGTAATCAAGTAATATCAACTTTTTTCAGGGATATCTTGAAAAAGAGAAAGAAAAAACCTTGAAAGATGGCAGGATCTCAGGTGTTCATCGGTGTCTTTGCTATCGAAATCAAATGACAAATGCCCCTGAATAATCGGCAAAAAAGAAAATCTCTTTATCAGTCATTAGTATTGCTAAGCCTGAAATCTACTTCCAAGGTAAAATATTTTCAGTTTCAGGTTTGAAGGAAACAAATACTTCTTGTTTCACAGAAAAAAACTGTAGATGTTTCTTTTTTTAGGAGGGAGAGAAGGAGATTTTAACTTAGAAAAAGACGATTAAAAGAGGGAGTGGGGAGAGAGAGAGAGGAGAGAGAGAGAGAGAGAGAGAGAGAGAGAGAGAGAGAAGAGAGAGAGAGAGAGAGGGGGGAGAACTGGAACTCTCTCTTATTTACTTTAACATCTTATGAAACTTATCAGAAGTTTGGATATTTTAAGTATTGAACAACTTGATTTAGAGATCAGTTTTCAAACTATACGCCTGAGCATACCCTATCAAAGTGATGTGAAAAATCCTCTT